TAGCTCGCTCTCTCTCTCTCTCTCTCTCTCTCTCTCTCTCTCTCTCTCTCTCTCTCTCTCTCTCTCTTTTTCCTGGGTGATGTATCTTACCCTGGCTGGGTGTGGCCGGATGTAAAGTGTGTTTTCTTGTATTGGTCGCTTGTGTTTTTAAAAGCTGCAGAAACACGCAGTGGTTTTAGGATGTGTGTTTGAGACCAGTGACCCCAGGGATGAAAAGTCCTGCTCCATGGAGTCCACCCTTCTCTGTTTTCCCTCAGTCCTTCTCCTGTCTTCTCCTGTTCTTAATGTGCGTAAGCTCTGTTTGTAGCTTACAGCCTCTGATCTCCACTGCATATGAACCAGCTGGGAGACTCTGAGGCCTTCATGGACATCAGATCTGTGAGGGCACAGTTATGTTATAATCTGTGCTCTTCAAACATGAAAGCAGCAGTAGATTGTGGTGTTTTAGTTGTGTAGAGGCCCAGCTGCTGATGTGTGTGTGTGTGTGTATGTGTCCGTGTGTGTGTGTGTGTGTAAAGGAGGAGCAGCATGCTAACACTTCAGCAAATTACGACGTTGAGCTTCTTCACCATCGAGATGCGCATATGGAATTTATTAAGAGTGGTGAGTGATCATTCCCTTGCATCAATAATTCAACACAGCCTTCATTTCACTGCTTAAAGCATTTGGACATTAGACCACAGCAACTGTTCTTAACCCTTACAGTGCATAAAAATTGGAGATCATTTTTGCATTCCGCATCAGTTTTGACTTGGTGGAATGCAAGCTTATAAAACAAATCATAAATTAATGTTTTCAACAACAAACATTGTATCTGATGAATAACTTCTCATTAATGAGTGAGTATAATATATAACAGTTTTTAATAATTAGAAATTGAGATTTTTTTATAAAATTTCAATTACACTACAGCAAAACTAGTGTGATTTTATCAGTATTTATGAGACTTTTTTTTGCATATATATCTAAAAATGTAAAAGAACATAATTACATATACAGTATAAACTCCTTTGAAATAAATAGATTTAATTAAAGGGATAGTAATATAAATCCAACACTGTTTTGTGGAATGTAAAATGAGAAGTTTAGAGGAATGTTATTCATGTTTCTCATGTTTGGTGTGTAGGTGATTTGCACATGGCCGGCAGCACCAGCAGAGACAGTGGGCTGAAGGAAACCGTCACTCTCAAATGGTGCACTCCACGCACCAACAGTGTAGGTGAGTGGAAGTGTGGGAGAAGTTTTCTTCTTTCTTTCATATGACAGATTCATGATTTTTTTTTTCTTTTTACAGAACTGCATTACTGCACAGGGGCCTATCGCATTTCTCCGGTAGACGTTAACAGCAGGCCATCTTCCTGCCTTACCAACTTCCTGTTGAATGGTGTGTGTCCTTTGTTCCACCATTCATTTTTTTTTTCTTATTGAATATACTGTATGTTTCACTTTTGGTATCAGAGACAGAGCGTCTCAGTGATATGAAACTATAGAAGTACATGCAGTTTTGTCTGGTGTCTTCTCAGGTCGCTCTGTGCTGCTAGAGCAGCCTCGCAAGTCAGGGTCAAAGATCATCAGTCACATGTTGAGCAGCCATGGAGGAGAAATCTTTCTGCATGTTCTGAACAGCACACGCTCCACACTGGAGGATCCACCCTCCATCAGCGAGGGCTGCGGTGGACGAGTGACTGATTACCGTATCACCGTAAGCTCAACAAGCACTGCCTGACTTCCTAGACTTTTGCTGCATCCCCGTCATTGCCATAATTACGACGTTCCAACCTACAAACTTTTAATTGCAACTTGCTTTGTAAACTAACAAGCAAAACGGCAGATGCTAAAACTGTTAAACATAGTTATAGAGGTACATTAGTAGTGGTGAAGCATTTCATAGTTCACTACAGCAAAGCCACAAATGGATCCAATTTGCAGCAATGCGTGTTGCCAACAAATTTGAGGACGTTGATACCCTAGTAGAAAATTGTCACTTCGTAATTACAGAAATTGCAGCAGCATTGTATAGGGATGCAATTATATTTCCTGTGTATGGCTGCAGAGTAAATCTTCTTAATATTTGTCTGCAGGACTTTGGTGAGTTTATGCGTGAGAATCGTCTTGCTCCATTCCCAGACTCAATGATAGATGCAGCAGGCAGAACTCCAGTCGAGAGAGCCAAATCTCAACTCGAACGATACACACGATACTGGCCAATGATCATCTCCCAGACTACCATCTTCAACATGCAGGCGGTGAGGGACACAGTCTTAATCTATGGTTCTCAACCACTATGGGCCCTCCACAAACTTTCAAGGAGGATACAAGATGACTTACTATATTCTAGTATATTAATTATATGTCATAATAATAATTTTTATGTTTAATATGAATTTTAATGATCTAACTTAAAATGCCTAAAGGGATAGTTCACCCAAAAATAAAAACGCTGTCATTAATTACCCTAATGTCGTTCCAAACCCGTAAGACCTTTGCTCATCTTCAGAACACAATTTTAGATATTTTTGATGAAATCCGAGAGCTTTCTGACCCTGCATAGACAGCAACACAACTGACACATTCAAGGCCCAGAAGATAGTAAGGACATTGTTAAAATAGTCCATGTAACATCAGTGGTTCAACTGTAATGTTATGAAGCTAGGAGAATACTTTTTGTGTGCAAAGAAAACAAAAATAATGACTATTTAATAAGTAATTAATGACAGAATTTTAATTTTTGGGCGAACTAGCTATCCCTTTAAACTAAATCAAGATAAACTGAAATCATATCCCCTCCCATTAATAACTAATTTATTCACAAAATGTATTGTGGTTAATAAATATATAGTTCTGTTAATGTGAGATTATATAGGGTCTAGTGGGTGGCCTTCAAGTCAAAAAAGGTTGAGAACCACGTATCTTAATGCTAAGCACTTAATCAGAGTATTTCTTTTCTGCAATGAAATCCTGTTTTGAATGATTTTTTTTTTGGTTGGGGGGGCTTGAGGTTTTATTTTGTGTGTGTATTTTTGGGTATTGGGGTCATTTTTGTGTGTATATTTCAGGTGGTACCATTAGCTAACCTCATAGTGAAGGACACTCTAACAGATGAAGATGTGCTGACCTGTCAGAAAACAGTCTATAATCTTGTTGATATGGAGAGGAAGAGTGACCCTCTGCCCATCTCAACTGTAGGCTCCAGAGGAAAAGGACCCAAACGGTGAGAATATCACATCATGATTCAATCTAAAGGTTTCAGTTTGTCTTGCTGTGTGGCTTTGGTTCAAAACCTAGTGAGCTGCCGTGCTATCTACTGCCTACACTGTCAGCTGCTTGCGGCATGTTAACAGAAATGGAGATTTCATTAGTTTGCCAATACATGTTTGCTATGTATGTTAAGGCTGATGTTTTTATGTAAATAGTGATGAGCAGTATCGAATCATGTGGAATGAGTTGGAGACGTTGGTAAAAGCACATTTGTGCACCAGTGAGCGGCATCAGCGTGTGCTGGACTGTATCAGCGCTTGCCGGAGCAAACCACCCGAGGAGGAGGAAAAGAAAAAAAGGGGAAGAAAGAGAGAGGACAAAGAGGACAAATCTGAGAAAAATGGCAAGGACACAGAGGAGAAGGGCTGGACCACAGACTCCGAGAGGTTGGTGTTAGTGAACAAGATGCTGACATTCACAATTTACATCCATCAAGCTGCAGCTTGTAGATTAATGACTGTGGATTTCCTGATCTGTGTGTGTTTCTAATGTATGTGTCCTTTTTCTTCCTCCAGGCTGAAGGGAGTAATGGAACGAGAGAAGGATGAACTGAGTGAATGTGAGATCATCAAAGATTCACCAGATTCTCCGGAGCCCCTGAACAAGAAACCACGCTTGGCTACAGAGGAGCAACAGCCTCCAGAGAAATCTAAAGGTTCACATTTATGTTTTATTGTAAAATCAATCCTCTGTTGTGATGTATGAATGCTCCTAATCTAAAAGCCTAAACCTAGCTTTACAAGATACAGTGTGAGATCACCAACATGTTCTACTAAAAGAATACACACACTTAAATGCACTGGCTGCTCCTGGTCCAATTTACAATGGTGATAAATGCTTTTTAACACTCACACCTATTAACGAGAAAACTAGTAAAAGAAGCGTCAGCTACGTCAGAACAGTCAAGTGACTCTTTACAGCACGGCATCATTTTATGGTCAGGACTAGCTGCTATGTTGTGATGTATGAATGCTCCTAATCTAAAAGCCTAAACCTAGCTTTACAAGATACAGTGTGAGATCACCAACATGTTCTACTAAAAGAATACACACACTTAAATGCACTGGCTGCTCCTGGTCCAATTTACAATGGTGATAAATGCTTTTTAACACTCACACCTATTAACGAGAAAACTAGTAAAAGAAGCGTCAGCTACGTCAGAACAGTCAAGTTACTTGTACAGCACGGCATCATTTTATGGTCAGGACTAGCTGCTACAAGCCAAGTCAGAAAGGTCGTCATCCCAAGTGAATAAACAGGCAAGTCAGAATGTGACATTATTAGGTACAGCAGCCAATCAGATCTATGACAAATAGAAACAGATGTTAAATATGGTCTCTTCTTTTGCAGGTCCTGTGTCTCTATTCACCCTTTGGACTAATAGAATCACTCAAGCCAACTCCAGGAAGCATCAGGAGTTTGCAGGAAGATTAAGTTCAGTCAATAACAAGGCTGAACTTTACCAACATCTGAAAGAAGAAAATGGGTGTGTTGACCTCACTGTTAGTCTCACTGTGTACCCTGTGATCACATTAATCAGTCATTTTGTTTGTCTACTCACTGTGTTTTGTTTATTAGGATGGATGTTCATGAGAATGGAAAAGCCACCAGATGATGTGTGGAACACGCCTCTTCTCATCTCTGCAGGATCATTGATTTGTTGAGAGGATGTGATGTGACCTTTGGCATGATATCAAATGATGCTTTTGCCAGGATGCTGGTTTTGTGTCAGACCAAGAAGAGAAAGGCAATGTTTTATAAGGACACACTTTTTATATGCTTTAGTTTGTACAAAGAGTCTGTAATATTCTGAAACAGAATAAAGAAATTGTAAACTGTTAATGTTCATGTTTGTGACGATGTAAATGGTCTTTGATTAATGCTTATTTTTTTAATCATAGTCTGTGTACTTGCCTGTACTGTATATCACTTAGATGTTCAGAAAGCATCACCACTTACCTCCGGAAATATCAAGGGATGGTAAATACACTTTTTTTTTTTTCATGAATCCCCGATTCCAACATGTTTTGTTAGCTTCATCAGGACATTTCCTTTCCCAAATTGCACCTTCAGTCCCTGTGGTCCTCATCCAAGTCCACATTTTGGTGATGTAATGGCAAATGTTCACTGTGGCCATATGAAGGCACTTTTGAGCACACCTTGGAAGCATAAAATGACAAAGGGGTACCTAAGGAGTCATGGACTGTACCAAATGGCTCATTTAATGTGCTCGTGGACTCACAATGGCCCCCATGAGCATGTATCTGTTAAGTCAACACAATCATAGTGTCCCATTTGTCATTTTAGGTTTTAGAAAGGTGCTCAACAGCAATTCTTTGCAAGTGATGTGTGCCCTCAATATGCACTTCATCTGGGCCCACACTGACATTCTTACCCAGCAGTCAATGCAGCACTACGTCACAAAATCTGGACAGCCAATCAGATCTATGACAAATAGAAACAGATGTTAAATATGGTCTCTTCTTTTGCAGGTCCTGTGTCTCTATTCACCCTTTGGACTAATAGAATCACTCAAGCCAACTCCAGGAAGCATCAGGAGTTTGCAGGAAGATTAAGTTCAGTCAATAACAAGGCTGAACTTTACCAACATCTGAAAGAAGAAAATGGGTGTGTTGACCTCACTGTTAGTCTCACTGTGTACCCTGTGATCACATTAATCAGTCATTTTGTTTGTCTACTCACTGTGTTTTGTTTATTAGGATGGATGTTCATGAGAATGGAAAAGCCACCAGATGATGTGTGGAACACGCCTCTTCTCATCTCTGCAGGATCATTGATTTGTTGAGAGGATGTGATGTGACCTTTGGCATGATATCAAATGATATTTTTGCCAGGATGCTGGTTTTGTGTCAGACCAAGAAGAGAAAGGCAATGTTTTATAAGGACACACTTTTTATATGCTTTAGTTTGTACAAAGAGTCTGTAATATTCTGAAACAGAATAAAGAAATTGTAAACTGTTAATGTTCATGTTTGTGTCGATGTAAATGGTCTTTGATTAATGCTTATTTTCTTAATCATAGTTTATGTACTTGCCTGTACTGTATATCACTTAGATGTTCAGAAAGCATCACCACTTACCTCCGGAAATATCAAGGGATGGTAAATACACTTTTTTTTTTTTCATGAATCCCCGATTCCAACATGTTTTGTTAGCTTCATCAGGACATTTCCTTTCCCAAATTGCACCTTCAGTCCCTGTGGTCCTCATCCAAGTCCACATTTTGGTGATGTAATGGCAAATGTTCATTGTGGCCATATGAAGGCACTTTTGAGCACACCTTGGAAGCATAAAATGACAAAGGGGTACCTAAGGAGTCATGGACTGTACCAAATGGCTCATTTAATGTGCTCGTGGACTCACAATGGCCCCCATGAGCATGTATCTGTTAAGTCAACACAATCATAGTGTCCCATTTGTCATTTTAGGTTTTAGAAAGGTGCTCAACAGCAATTCTTTGCAACTGATGTGTGCCCTCAATATGCACTTCATCTGGGCCCACTGACATTCTTACCCAGCAGTCAATGCAGCACTACGTCACAAAATCTGGACTTTGAGGAAGACCACAGGGGCTTAGGGTACCATTTGGGACAGGGCCATAGACATCAATAAGGAAAAGCTAGGAGTCCATATAAAAAGTGCCATTTGGGACAGGCTCATGCAAGACTTAAGGCAGAGTAGGTGATTTGGTTAAAAAACATTTTTTCACATTCCGATAGCAGTCACAAAAGCGTAAGACCATAAAATGTTCGTCCAGTTATATCCCTTGATCCGAGGGCTACAATAGGCTGTCCTACAGTAGGTGATTTGGTTAAAAAACATTTTTGTTATGCTGGTTGAAAGAATGTTCACATTCCGATAGCAGTCACAAAAGCGTAAGACCATAAAATGTTCGTCCAATTATATCCCTTGATCCGAGGGCTACAATAGGCTGTCCTACCTACTTTTCAGCATATATATTTGCATACATCTACACACCATGTTCCCGCACGTGATGCGTAATCAGCGCGTTCCATGTTGCAGACCGAGCAAGAATGGAAGGTGTTATTATTGTAATATTATGCGCTTTGCGTAATGTTTTCTCACCTGTGAATGAGCCATGAGGTAATCTGCCAGCATTGCATTCTACCCTCCACCAATGCTTTGATCTTTCATCGTGTCGCTGGTTAGCCTCTGGTCTGCCTAACTGCGTGTTCATGTGTTTCGTAGGAGGTGTGGCTTTGGAGAGTGATTTGCAGGGAGGGTGGGATATTATGCTTTCAAAGCTAGCTTGCTAATTTTAGCCTCTATGAAATTGCCTATCCTACCTTTAAAAAAGGTAGGAGGTGTGGCTTTGGAGAGTGATTTGCAGGGAGGGTGGGATATTATGCTTTCAAAGCTAGCTTGCTAATTTTAGCCTCTATGAAATTGCCTATCCTACCTTTAAAAAAACGCTTCAAAAGTGTGGATGTGTTTTGACTCTGTAATGAACAGAAAGAGCAATCTGTTCAAGGACAGAGGAAGTTAGTGTCGAGTTTTCTGACTCCAGTGAGGAAGAGGCATCTGGTGGTGTTGATATATGCGATCCTAATGCTTGCTGTCAGACTCTGTGCACATATTGAGCAGAGGTGAAAGTGATTGTTTATGTGGGATTTGATTCCTGGCATGCAGTGCTTCTTTTCTCAGCAGAACTCTCCACCTCTGCACTGAAGGAGCCTGCAGTCATTGGATCTGAGTAAAATCCATCCAACAGGGCAAAATAACTGCCCCAGGCTACTCTCTGCATTCTCAGTGCCTGCAGCTAAGACTTCTGCTGGGAAGCCATTAGGGAAATCAAGGTGTTTGAACTTAGTCAGGTCTTTAACCAGCTGGACACACTCATTAAGCTGAGACTGGAACTGTTCTGATATTTTTAGAACCAGCTTTGTGGTTGCTTTTTGTAACTGTTGCCAGGCTGAATTAATCACTAAATCTGTTCTACCAAAAATGAGCTAAACACAGAATAACACAATTGACCTGTTGTGTAAGAATTTTGCTAAGCACATGTAAACATATTTGTTCTAGGTTGCTGACTGCCACAACCTAAAAAAAAAAAAAAAGACACCGTAAACAGCAATGCTTTATTCTAAATTTATTTCATATTTTACAGTGTTACTGCACCTTTTCCACTGATGGCATAAATAGTTTATGCTGCTCGATAAACGTCAACATAAATCATTTCAATGTGTTTTCCAGGCATCTGACACTTCTCAAGAAGGATGTAGTTTAATTAACATAATTTGTTAAAAATATAGCTGAATCGAAGTCTGTTGCTCAAAGGAATTTTGGTACTGCATTAAAGGTTAAAACTTGTGATCCAGAGATATCAAACCATGATGTCATTTGATTTTAACAACTTTCAGCTGAGCTTAATATTTTAGTCACACCCATGTGCATAGCAGCAGGTGATAGAATGCACACTGTTAATTTCTAATGCACACACATCAGTCCCAAACCTCAAGCCTGTTACAATTGCACAGATATTTATACAGGCATTTAGCACAGTCCATGTTACACCTTAATACAGCCCAGTTGAGTAATACACCTGTATTAAGTGCCATAGGTGGATCCTCAGACCCCTCACACAAGCTTAAAACTGAACATCAGTGCATGCAGCCTAACAATGCTAAAAAATAAAAATATTTCGTTTATTTTAGCTGTTTAGAGAACGCTGTGCAATTTTTTTTATCTATGTTAAAAATAGTCCTCTTTGCTACTTATTGATATGTTGCTATATGCTATTTACAACTTTCGTTTTTTTTTTTTTTTTTAGTAAGGCATGCTTCTCAAATGTTTCCCTCGTCACACAGAGATGACATTGTTCTTCAAGTCATGCGCCATTCAGACAGTCGAATGCTCGTTTGCAAATCATCCGAGCACCAGTTCTGTGTGAAATCAACACACGACTACTCAATTACTCTACTAAAATCCTCAATAAATGTAGAAGCAGATGGTTTTTGTTTTGAATGTATAGCATGATGTGCAGCGCTTTAAACCAAACCTGTTTTTTGTTTTACTAAAAAATAAAATGATTCAGTCATCCATGAAGATCATGTTAATACTGGCTTTTGGCAAAATAGTGTTTTTGGAAAAAAAATATCAGTAAGCTAACCAGTTAACAAAAATATAAAAACAAATTCAGAAGCTACTACAGCAAATATAAATGAGTACTTATACACACTTCCAAGAGCTCCTTGCTTATGTCCATATTAAATGTAAAAATAAATGAAGTCATTTTGCATCTGTGTGAATGTAGCTTTAAGGGAAGCAGGTGCTACTACAGTTAAACAATTAAAAAAAAAATCATGTCATCAACAATATTTTGGAGCTGCTTCCCTTTGCACATACACTTAAAAATCTTTACATTCATGCAGATATTCATGACTTCCAGAACACTTTGGTTTGATAAGAAATAAAGTTCTAAAAAAGATTTGCTTAAAATATATGCAACTGATGTGATTTTTGCTAGTATGTGGGAAAAAAGACAACTCTAGATAAGGATTTTAGTGGGATCAGCTAAATAAAAAAATAAAACTAAATATTCAGTGTCAGAAATAAAAATGCATTTATTGGCCAAAAAGGTTCACTGAAAGCTTAAGCAGAACACGTTGATCTAGGCCAGTCATTACGACTTGTGCGTAACTACATTGTACTTGCATAATTTAAAAGGCTTCCTTTTAAAATTAAGCTGTTCAGCACAAAACCAGGTTCCATTGCTTCATTTTAAAAGGTACCAAATTTCACTTGCCACAAGCTGCTTTCATGCAAAAACACCTCTCTTACTCACTCTCACACGGTTTTAAAATATTGCATGCACCTGCTTTCCTGATTAGCGCAATCAAACGCAGAAAATGATTCTTCAGCTTTTAAGATTTCAGTAAAATTCCACAGCAGATGTGTTGGCCAATAAAGTGCAAACTAAGGCGAAACCCCACCCCTTACTATGAGCTTTCATCACGACTATGAGCCATAAAATATAAACTGCATAATTTATCATCCTCAACGATCTCTTTGCATCTCCTTAAAATTCCTTCTGCTTGCATAATCGCATCGTGTATGAGGTTTACGGAGATTCAGAAACATTCTAGAAATGAAAGACATCATGATGCTGCATTTTCTAACTTGCACCAGAAGTTTGATGGATTGAACGAAGGCTGAGGCAGCATGTATTCTGTCTGAGTTCAGTAGTTGCCATGTTCAAGACATATTCAAAGCCTTACTGCGCTTTGGGTCCAGTGAAACTGAGCATACATTCAGCTGGAGATGTCTTTGTAGGATTTGGAGAAAGCACTGATTGGGTTGGATTAGTCAAACAGCCATCAAGACGAAGCAATCATCACCGTAAAAAAACACTCGCTGTTTGTTGATGAATCTGTAGAGCAAACAACAGATACCTCTGTAATTCTAGGGAGTATGAGTCATGTGGGAAGTGCAGACTGTGTTTAAATGTTGATGCCCAGTGCAAAATCAGACGTAGATGCCTTCTGGGTTAAAGGTCGTGTTCAGCGGGCTCTGCAGAGCTCGTAGGTCAGCGGGAAGTTGTCGAGCTGATCCAAGCCGCTTCAGAGATCCAGACTGATTTTCTGACTCTACAGAGATAAAACAAAGAGTGACTTTACTTGTAAAGTACACTTTAAAATGGACACATTGTGCTTTAGAATTTAGAAACACACATTACAGGTTGGTTACATTAGATTAAATGAAGAACAAAACAGACAATATATATGTTTGTACCTGTGTTGGCTTCCTCCTCACCAGGGTCTGCTGGTAGAACTGTTACTTTGGTGCCAGTCTGTTGAATAAACTGTTGAAGGTTCACCTGCCTCAGCTCCTTAGTTAACTGTTCCAGCTCCTGCTCTCTCTCCTAAATGAAACAATCAAAATGGAAAAATTTTCACATTTTTTTTAAAGAAAGAGGAGGGCCAAAAGAGTATGCTCCAAAACCTGCCGTACTATCATTTGTTACTTTAACAGTTCTGATAGAATTTAGTGCTAGAATTTAATACAAGTGTATCTGTGTTATTTCCGACCCCACTTATTCAGAGAGACTACAGGATTCTCATGGGGCGCCAGGTGCCTCTCTGTCTCGCGCCATTTTTCAATCAGCGTGTAGCGACCTGTCCGCCCTGCAAGACAATACTTTTACATTAGCAATTTGAAGTGCAATTTCTGCATTAGCGTAAAAAAATCTAAATTGCAAAAACAATGGTTGTATTCAAACAAGTTTCCCAAACATTCCTCCAACTATATTGACCTGTTTCCCTTACCTATTATCTGTCATTAGTCAACCAAACAAGTAGTCCCGCCCCAAAATCAGGCCACCGGTTGAGCCTCTGTTGCTTTGTCAGGATATTCAAACAAACACGTTTATTAGCTGAGCCATATCTTTTACACTCTTAGAGAGTGAACCTATCAATGACTTGCATATAGTTGATAGGACAAAAGCCTTGTTCAGACTGTCAGTTTAAATCCGATTTAGTGCATATCTGTTTGCAATCCGATCCACACAGTGTATCGAACCGAATCCAATTTGTGTGTCCAGAAGCGCTGTTTCGTTTTACGGAATGTGCGTTGGTTTCTATGGCAATGCCACTGCATTGTTATGCCTACACTAAAAACAACAATAACAACAATACAGTTTGCAAAACAGACGTTGTCTTACGACATGACTATGTTGCTATCACGCAGCTTTATATTTCATCTTATGAGGCAGTGGCAGAAATGCAGGAATCTGGAATGTGCGATTTTATTCTGTGCTGCCATCTCTGCTGGTTTCAAAACTCAAGAGGTGCGTACACTAGCAGTAAATTGTCTTTTTCCGCATGACTTGCACTTTGCAACAACACAAGCTTGTTTCTGCAAAGACATTAAGCATGTTTTCTACAAAAAACGTCTGACATGTTTACGTTTTACGTGGCATACGCTAAATCCGATCTGACCCGTCAGACTAAAACGGATTTCCAGGAATGCAATTTGAATAGGAATCCAAACCACGTATGAATGTAGCTCAAAACGGATTAGCAAAAATTTCATGTAGTTTGTTGCCGTTCAGAACATATATATATATATATATATGATTGGATTTCAATAGGATTTGCACAAAAATTTAGGCTGACAGCCTGAACGAGGCATAAAATACTTTAACATTACACTACACTACATACTTTGACTTTAATAAAACTGTGTATGGCTAAACAGAGTAGCAAGCAGACATACAAGCTCATGACGACACAAAGATTTAACTTTCCAAAGGAAATTCATCCGACATTCCTCAGAGACCAGGCGCCTCAGTGGCACAGAGATTGCACTTATTCATGAAATAATGGAATAAGATGAAATAATGGTCTCATTTTTTCTAGTATGGGGTGATAGGGTCGAACTCTTGAGACTAGAAGGGACAATACTGCATTTCACTGCTCCCATCTCTGATCTCAAAGAGGGCTTGTTGTCAAGGAGACAACCATAGTGAGGGTTATGTTGCGTAAAAAACAGTGGAAGGGAAGAACAAAGGAGGAGGGAGCTTGGAAGGGAACATGCCAAAAAAAAAAAAAAACATGAAAAAAGTTCTGTTAAAAATGGTACCATTGTGTAACAAGTTATTCACCAATCAGATTGTATTTTGAGCATGCAAAAGTGACCAAAACCGTTTGGATCTCGATGATTAGGGTACAATGTGTTTAGTGACTCACCTATTGCTTGGGCCAAAGCGATAACAACCTCTTGACATGTGGTGACTTCTGTGACCCCGCAGACGATGCGCTGCACTCCATCCACCCATACCTTCAGCTCCATGCCTCTCATCTGGATGTCATTCCTCACCTCTGCAGGCACCCGTTGCAAGCTCTCTGGTCTGCATGCCGCTCTTATCACTGCTTGAAAGACCAAATAACTGTTTGTGCTAATTCCGCTTACATAAGGAATGGTTTAATCATAAATACCTCTCTGTATTCTTCAATAACAGTGACCTTACTAGCACTTGGTTCTTTATGATACTCCATCCATAGTGTCAGTCTGGCAGACTTTAGCGCCTTGTGCAGGGAGGGTTCTCTGTATTCTTCAATAACAGTGACCTTACTAGCACTTGGTTCTTTATGATACTCCATCCATAGTGTCAGTCTGGCAGATGGCATCTTTAGTTCCTCATGAAGGCAGGGTTTGGGTGCTGCAGTGCTAAAGTTTTACTCCCAGCTTGCTCACACAAGCCCTGATCTGTTATTATCCTCAAATCCGGATCGCAAATCAATTTTCACTGTGGTTTGGCCTTTTGTTATCCTGTTGTTCTCTTAAGGATTGTGGCTAGTTGATGGACATCCTGTTTTTACCTACCCCACCACTTTATTCTGCCTGTCTGACTTGATTAAATTATTATTTTTTTTTTTTGATTTAACAGTCTGATAGGAGTGAATTCATTCGTTTGCATCAACTCACGTATATGTATCAGTGCTATGTATAGTCAGAATAGACAGTTGAAAAAAATAAACTAATCAACTGCCCCCAATGGAGAACACTCTTAGCTAGGTATTTTGAGATTAAGACCCTTGCATTAAAAGATAAATTAAACAAAGCATACACAAATACCACACAGAATATATGTTTAAAGCTCTCAATTTCAGATGTGTTGTCAGATAAATGTTATTTTTTGTTGTGCAAGTTTTATTTACTTCATTTTATTGTTAAGGAAAACTTTAGTATAGACTGATTCTTGTCCTCTGTGGTAGTGTACTGAGTGATCAGAGTGATTTATTTAGCCATGAACCACTCAAGCAGAAGAACTGGTCCAAACAGGCCTGTGTGAACAGTATGGATGGCGCCCACTCCCATGAGACGCACTCATAAAGGATAAGTGAGATGAGCTGTACACCCTTGACAGGTAATAAGTCTTTCAGTGTGTGTGTGTTGTGAAGAGAGAAAGTCCTCTGTTTGTCTCTCATTCCCTCTGTCTCCAGGAGTGTTTGGGCTGCTGAAATCTGAAGTGGCCTCTGATGGGCAGTGGGCAATATCTTGATATGCCATCTCACACCCAGCTGATATGCATGATGGATATCTGTATCTGCATATGTCAACACTACGGAAATACAGTTTTAGCAAACCCCTAAGTATTAAATTCCGGCACAGAAATCATCCCTAAATTTGTGCCATGGATATTGTAATACCTCACATTATGAAACCAGTTGAGGAAGGGTGCGATATGATGTTTTAAAGTTGTAAAGTAAAGACAGTATCGACAGATCTCTTCTTCCTTATTGTGATGTACATAGCAGTGAAACAAATCGAAAAGGAAAAAAAAAGGAAGGTCGGGGACTTGGTTCTGCCCATCAGTTGCTGATTGAATGGAGGCAGTTCTGAATGCAAGCTTGTAGTCTGTCGTATAAAAAAAAAAGGGTTTAAGAGTAAAACTGTTTGTGCTAATTCCGCTTACATAAGGAATGGTTTAATCATAAATACCTCTCTGTATTCTTCAATAACAGTGACCTTACTAGCACTTGGTTCTTTATGATACTCCATCCATAGTGTCAGTCTGGCAGATGGCATCTTTAGTTCCTCATGAAGGGAGGGTTTGGGTGCTGCAGTGCTAAAGTTTTACTCCCAGCTTGCTCACACAAGCCCTGATCTGTTATTATCCTCAAATCCGGATCGCAAATCAATTTTCACTGTGGTTTGGCCTTTTGTTATCCTGTTGTTCTCTTAAGGATTGTGGCTAGTTGATGGACATCCTGTTTTTACCTACCCCACCACTTTATTCTGCCTGTCTGACTTGATTAAATTATTATTTTTTTTTTTTGATTTAACAGTCTGATAGGAGTGAATTCATTCGTTTGCATCAACTCACGTATATGTATCAGTGCTATGTATAGTCAGAATAGACAGTTGAAAAAAATAAACTAATCAACTGCCCCAATGGAGAACACTCTTAGCTAGGTATTTTGAGATTAAGACCCTTGCATTAAAAGATAAATTAAACAAAGCATACACAAATACCACACAGAATATATGTTTAAAGCTCTCAATTTCAGATGTGTTGTCAGATAAATGTTATTTTTTGTTGTGCAAGTTTTATTTACTTCATTTTATTGTTAAGGAAAACTTTAGTATAGACTGATTCTTGTCCTCTGTGGTAGTGTACTGAGTGATCAGAGTGATTTATTTAGCCATGAACCACTCAAGCAGAAGAACTGGTCCAAACAGGCCTGTGTGAACAGTATGGATGGCGCCCACTCCCATGAGACGCACTCATAAAGGATAAGTGAGATGAGCTGTACACCCTTGACAGGTAATAAGTCTTTCAGTGTGTGTGTGTTGTGAAGAGAGAAAGTCCTCTGTTTGTCTCTCATTCCCTCTGTCTCCAGGAGTGTTTGGGCTGCTGAAATCTGAAGTGGCCTCTGATGGGCAGTGGGCAATATCTTGATATGCCATCTCACACCCAGCTGATATGCATGATGGATATCTGTATCTGCATATGTCAACACTACGGAAATACAGTTTTAGCAAACCCCTAAGTATTAAATTCCGGCACAGAAATCATCCCTAAATTTGTGCCATGGATATTGTAATACCTCACATTATGAAACCAATTGAGGAAGGGTGCGATATGATGTTTTAAAGTTGTAAAGTAAAGACAGTATCGACAGATCTCTTCTTCCTTATTGTGATGTACATAGCAGTGAAACAAATCGAAAAGGAAAAAAAAAGGAAGGTCGGGGACTTGGTTCTGCCCATCAGTTGCTGATTGAATGGAGGCAGTTCTGAATGCAAGCTTGTAGTCTGTCGTATAAAAAAAAAAGCGGGTTTAAGTAAACTAAATGGTTGTAGATGGCCAGCCAATGTGAATCATTCTCAATAAGATGAATAAGATACATTTACAAAATAGGGTAAATTTCCATTTCATGTCAACTTTAAATGGTTAGATTACCAATTTTGGGAAATCCCAAGTTGAAGTAGGTATCCAAGCAAGAATAACAGAGACAGAGGGTTGGGTTCTTTTCTCTTGTGCCAGTACACAACCATCTATAGCAACCACAAGGAACGCCCTAGTTACCACCTTGAAAAGCACTTAAAACAACTTAGAACTGCCTGGAAGCCACCCACAACATCCTAGCTTTTGCATGGGGAAGCATCACTCACATTTTCTAAATATCTTGTTTTAATTCTGTCCTGGTGTGCGTTCATGTTCTAATCAGTCTCTCTTGGGCAGAGACATCAGGCCAGGAAGTGTAATCATTCACTTCTGCTTTAGAAATCTCTCATGAGCTTGTTAGTTCAGTCCAGTCCTACCCGTTCAGCAAAGCAGCATACAGTTGTTTTCTTGTATGTTTTAAACACTGCATCAAGCCCTACCCCCCAACAGTATTATGTGTCAGCTACAGAATCTGTGTTTAACTGTATATACATGATACAGGCATCGGCCCCAGACGAGCTTCGGCTCCATGACCTGGGGCTAAATTTAACGAACTCAAGGCTTTGGCGGCCTGTCAGTGTAAGGTACAGCCAAGACAGCTGCTAAAGGAGACGTAATGCGTCTAAACTCACATTCCAGTCGACTCACGTCTGACGTCTGTAAACACAGATCAGCACAGCACATATGGCTGTATGCTACAGTAACCCCATCGGGTGTAACGGTCCCTGCATGCTGTAGCACTCTCACATGCTCTGTCATGTCAATTATGTACATCCATTCTGCTATACTAACTCAGGGCTGTTGAATATAACAGTTTATTAAAGTTTATAAAACTACTCAGGCTAGCTGTCATATTTGTTGACACAAAACTAAGAGGTGAGGGCTGGCAGTACACTCCATTCAATATGTTGTTTTGTTGTAAAATTTAGTGTCGATTGTTTATTCAGCAAAATTTGTGTCAGATTAAACATGGTGTCTACCTTGACTAGGGTCAGTACAACATATTCCAGATCTTTCAACAGGTCTGCTTTTGAGATGAAAGCTTGCTCTGTTGTCTAGCCTTTCAGTCGCTGTAATTCGGAGTTTTATCTACAGCACTTGAAAAACTCCTCAGGACCCTAACGGCGTGTGTGGACTGTAGTGGGGGGCTGTTCTAACAAGGGTCCAGACAAACACAAAGGTCCGCTGGAGAGACGCCCACCCCTGCATGCCTCACAGTATGACTGGACACAAACAATCCATCTCCATAGTGATGCTTTCGCAGATTTGTGAATTTCTCACATGGCTGGCTGTGACCGGCTTGGGAACCAACAAACACCAGCAATTAAGGAACAATCTCTTTATTTTAACTTTTGTCCATGTCCCTCTGTAAAACTTTGTCCTGTCAGGGGTTCCCAGCTGAACAACGCACCAATGAGTCACGAACTGACACTGAATTGAACCCATTTAAAATGAAATTGTTTGTCAGTAGAGCATCTGTTGAGGATGAGAAACCCTGAGTACGATTCATTAACTCAAAGTAACTTTAGTCTGAGGTGAATATGTCACAGTAATTGGCTTTATCACACACAATGTGGGGGAAGGTAATGCCGGATATATGCATACCTTGCAGGTCAACAAAAAAGTTTATATAGTTATTTGAACCAAATTAAAATTCTGCTTTTGAGCAAGAGAGAGCTCAATCTTGTTTCTCTCTAAAACATTTTCCTTCGGCATTCATTGTTAATACAAGAATTATGTTTAATCAACCCTTTGTGAGATGTTTTCTTTAGATAGTTTGACAGGCATTGCTAGTGACCTTTGCCATTGCATGGGCGTTTAAACAATATAAAACTAGATTTTTACATTTTCTAAAAGCTTGTCCATAGAAAAAAAACCTCACCAACACAATACCAGGGTTTTGTAGTTATTCTACTGCACTACTATATGGTATAAAGTGTTCAGAGTAGTTTTTAATGTTTTTCTGTGTTTATTAGGGTGTTCTGGTTGGTTTCAATGTTGTTGCTTACAGGCCCAGGTCACACCTTAAAGGGATAGTTCACCCAAAAATGAAAATACTGTCATAATTTACTCACCCTCATGTCGTTCCAAACCCGTAAGACCTTCCATTCATCTTCAGAAAACAAAGATATTTTTGATATCTTTTGATATATTTATTTTGATATATATTTTTGATATTTTTTACAGACAATAGACAGCAATGCAACTAACATGTTCAAGGCCCAGAAAGGTAGTAAGGACATCGTTAAAATAGTCCATGTGACATCAGTAGTTCAACCATAATGTTATGAAGCTACGAGAATACTTTTTGTGCACAAAGAAAACAAAAATAATGACTTTATTCAACAATTTCTTCTCTTTTGTGTCAGTCTTTGACGCATATTCACAAGAGTACCACGGCGCATGCATGTGGTGCTGCTGATGTGGGAGCCGGGGGCTCTCGGATTTCATCAAAAATATCTTATTTGTATGTGTTTTGAAGATGAACAAAAGGTCTTACGGGTTTGGAACGACATGAGGGTGAGTAATTAATGACAGATTTTATTTTTTGTGCGAACTATCCTTTTAAGTATGTTTGATATTCTGGCTCCTAGAAATGACTGGTGTCCTTCCTTCAGTGCAAGACAAGTCCGTGTTAATTTCGCCATATTTATCTTCTAACAATCTGAACGCTTAGTCAAGTAATAGCACACCTCTCCGCAACACAATTTGAGGTGTCACTGAAAGTACCAATTATTTAGTTGTTTGGTCACCAATAATTTGTTGTTGTTCTGGCTTATCCGTTTCTTTTTAGACAGTAAAACAACAGTCTAGGCAGCGTTGCCGCTTTGCAGACAAACTAATTAGTGCAAAATAAGCTGAACATACATAGTATGTGCAGTTAGAAAAATTGTGTATGCGTGCAGTGTCTATACTATGCTGATTATAAAATTAATCGCATATTGTGCAGTGCACATACCCTAACCTTCATGTAAACAGTCATTATTTTCTTATTGCACAGCAGACAAATCCCTTAATTTCCTTGAGTTGGACAGTGTGGGTTCAAAAGAGGGAAGTGAACTGTCTGTGAACTCTGTCTGTGTCCTGTGGTTACACACATACTGTATGCACAGACCAAATATTTTTGGCGTTTTATTGAACTGGAAATCGGTGGGTGCAGATCTCGTCTGCCTACTAGTACCCCATCAAAAGTACAGAACAGCTTTCTGCAGCCTACATCAGATCCTGATCTGCATTGCCATGCATTTATTCATAATTTTACATGTACATCTGTCAGCACAGTTCTGTCTTACTGCCTCTGTACTGTTGTCTACTCCGTCCGCCTTCACTCAGCTCTCTATTGCTTTCTTCTCCCTTCATCTGGTAGGTCTTGCTCTGGAGTTATTTAGCACGCTGATGATATCCACGGTCAGCAGATTTGATCAGTGGGTGTTTGATGAGCCAGCCGTTGTCATATAAGACTGTGTGTAATGAGTGGCTGAGGCATGTGTAATCGGTTGTGAGTGAGTCATTTCTATGAATGAGGCATGCGTAAACAGATCTATAAGTGAGGCAGAGGAAGGTGGTGTCCGAAAGCTAAAAAATACACATACAAATCCTGTGTTGCACAATATCCTGACTACTAAGATGACTCTGTCTGGTCTATTTTTGATGGGTCTTGCCCTGCCTGCTGCGTCTGAAGGAGTGGTTGAAAGCTGTATGTTGAAAATGAACTAACGTACTAAAAATTTCAACTAACAGTTCAATTTTGACCAAGAAATAAGCAATGTGTTCATTAAATATTCCCTTGGTTATTTGTTCTAGATCATCATACGTGATATTAAGATGCCTCTGGAATGTGGTCTAGAGCCCGTTTCCCTAACAGACAACAGTTTTAGTAAGAAGGCACCCTTTGGTTTCACACACAAAATATCTGAAAGCAAGCAGCTTTTGAAATGAGGGGTGAAGTTATCATAATTGTCAGTAAAATTGAGAGAGTGGACATGGAGAAAAATCTGATGCAGTTAAACAGAAATTCAAACCTGCTGTAAAGCACATTACCTTAATAACAAAGGCAACAGTTTGGCCTCTACTGCATATTCTTGTGTAAGTTCTGATAGTCGGTTTATGTAATCAAATCAGCTTAACAAAAACAGTCTTATCTATTAATAAGAGTGCATATAACTTTGCAGTTTGTATGACATTAAGTAAACTTCGAAGGTGTTGGAGCCAGAGTTATGTTCAGTTCATAACTTTATATAATGCCTAATTCATTATATAATGTAATTTACTACCCACCTTATTTTTAACATAAGAGCAGGTGTGGCATTTTTAACTTTTCATCAGCCACTTCTAGTTGTTTTAGGTGTACAAAAATAGTCTGTTATGCTGCTTGATGTTGCAAATGAGTATTTTTTATTTTATTGTTTTATTATCAATATCCTACATTTATTTATTACTGCACTTTGTTAGTGTTTTAGTTATTTACATATAGAAGCTAGTGAATCAGAAGTCTCACAAAATATTACTATTTGTATGCATTTCAGGAAAATTTGATTCAAATATTTTCACACATTCATATTTCAATGTACACTACCAATCTGATGACCATTAAGTGAGGGCTGGTTGTCGCACTTTTGCTCCAGTGAATGTTTTACTAAAGGTTTACGAAAATACACAATAGAGGGGCATGTTGTAAACTATATGCTGTAAGTCACAATGGACCCTAAATAGCTTAACACGTTTTGATTCAAAACCTTATGAATAATCAGAAACAACCACTGTGACAATTAGCCCTAGTCTCCCTTATAATGTCTAATAATGACTCATTAATTAAACTTACTATAAAGCCTTAGTGTTTATGGGATGCAGTGCTGTATGTTCGTAAGTTTAGGAGGGGCTGCAGGCCTGCTGCTGATCTGGTGGAAAACACTGACCATCACACTGTCATGAACCCCGTTGAAACGCATATCAGTAGATCTGGGCTGCTGATAAAAGCACTGACATTGACTGCACACAGTATCGTGTCATGCGTCTGTTCTCATCATGCGCCTTCATGTAACGCGTCCCGTCGCAATTATTTCAAGATGCCCCATGAAAACACATGAAATACATGTCGCCCATCTCTCGGGCTTTCACGACGGTCCAAAACACGGTTTATTTCATATAATTTCCGTACCTGCGTGTATCTGCAGTCCCAGACCGCCACAATCCTCAGTCCGGGTCTGTTACTTCGCTCCGCCAGAGAACCCAGATTTAAGCAGATGGTGTGGTTTTCCTTTTAATGTTTCGTAAAGACTCCCTTCGTCCGATGTCCGTAAATGTAGTCCGGTTCCGGTTGAGGTCCGTTAGGAGGGTCCGCTCGCTGAAGTTCAGTCAGTGTGGCCCGTTACATCAGCAGCAGCAGCAGCGGCAGCTCTGCTCTCACACGAGTAAAAACAGTGCGCGGGACACCGCAAGGCATCATGGAGCGAGCACTTTAAAGCTGCACAGCCCACACTGAACAAGCCTGCTCAGTCACACACACACACACACACACACACACACACACTGCATGTACCGCACGTTTAGGGGTTATTTGGCAAAGTCTGTGGATTTTATTAATGTAACAAATTGTTAACGCTTTCACATCTTTAACCAATTAACTATTCATTATCGATAATAAATATACTATTTATTAATAAGTGCATTCAGCATGATATGAATGAATCACACCCATTTCTATTCGTTTGATGTGCATTTATTAACTGTTAAGTATCATACAACGTTCATTTAGTTTAATATGTTTTTATTTTAATATATAGTTAATTAAATGAACAAATTCCTCTGTTTATTTATATATTTAAATAAGCTGTTCCTTGACATTTGAAACATGAAAGGTTTTTGTGTGTGTCTCACTTTAGAATTCTTATAGTGTGTGTGTGTGTGTGTGTGTGTGTGTTTGTCTATAATTCTTATAGTTGCTCCATTTTGCTGAAATACTAATGCCTTAAATCTCTTGAAATTACTTGAAGTTTGAAGTTTATTTACTTTTCTGCTTAGCAATAGCCTTCTGAGATTAAATTATTGCAGAAAGTACATTGAATTGCAGAAAAAAAACATAAATACAAAATACCAGAGAAATTTAAAAACAAATATTAACAAATATAAAAATGTTCAATAATACTATAATAATTAAAGATATGCATATGCACATATATACATATACATCTGTCCATAAATAGACAAAATATACATCCATTCACACACACACACACACACACACACATACAAACAATTTCTTGCAATTATAAACGGCTGTTTGGTTCCACCACACCAGCGTTGAGAAAAGTAACAGGTAGCGCGTAACAAACTATCAATCTGGGACACTTAGGCGTTAAGAGCAGAAGCCTCCTGAAAGCACAAACCCAAACTCATATAAAATATTCATTTTTATGTTACAGTGACGGGAGAAAGGCTTTAAAATAACTCCTCCGCTAGCTAGATACTGAAGTGCAGTTTGCCATCCGCTCCACTAGGGGCGTAAGCACAAACATATATATTAGTGCTATCAAACCATTAATCGCGATTAATCGCATTCAAAATAAAAGTTTTTGTTTACATTATATATGTATGTGCACTGTGTATATTTATTATGTATATATAAATACACATACAGTATATTGAAAATATTTACACATTTATACATTTATATATTAATATTCGTATATTTTATATTATATATAAATATATTTAATATATAAACATAACATATTTTTCTTAAATATATACATGCATGTGTTTGTATTTATATATACATACTAAAAATACACAGTATACACTGTGTGTGTGTGTGTGTGTGTGTGTGTGTGTGTGTGTGAGTAAATATATATATATATACAGTTTTTGAGCATATGCCAGTACATGCATCTGAAATCGTGCATTTGAAAGCTTAGTGTCTACTAATGTAAGTTGTCTCTTGAAATGTAACACTGTATAAGTGTATAACAGAAGCTACAGTTCTACAGATGCTACAGTTCTTCTGGATTGAGTCTGTCTCAGTTTGTTCTGTTTCTTCATGTCATTCCAGACAGACTAGATGATGGTGAGATCAGATCTCTGTGTGGAGCACTGGCTATTGTCAGACTCTTTGTGCAAACAAAAATCTCACTGGATTATTACAATTAATGGCAAAATTAATGTTTGGAAATGTAAACTGATATTTCCTACTGACACACTACAGCAAAATATAGAAATAACTGACTTGAAATAATTTTTTAGCTTGTGAAAATACTAGTGTTCTAATAATTTTGGCCACCACTGTAAGTGTATGTTTATGTATCTTGTTTTGATTATTTATGTTTTTCCTCTACAGAATAAGGAATAAGTGTTTGGACTGTACAGACTTCCAAGACATATGGACATTAGCCATAATGATGGACATCTGCTTACGAACAGGTAATGTTTATAATGTGTGACTGTGTGTTGTAGCATAGTAAATGTGTCGGTTGTCATAATTTTCTTTTTGAGGGGAAATTTTCTTCTAGATTATATAGGATCTTTTAGTTTTTAATCTTTAAAGACAAACATTTTAACTGATTCCATGTTATCTATTAGTTTATGAGGATAAATATTACTATTGTAAAATGTAAAATTACATGTATAGTATAGAGCAGGGGTGCCCAACCCTGCTCCTGGCGATCGACTGTCCTGCAAAGTTTAGCTCCAACTCTAATCAAAGACACCTGACTTTAATTTTTAAGTTATCCTGAAGACCCTAATTAGTTGCTTCAGGTGTGTTTGATTAGGGTTGGAGCTGAACTTTGCAGGACAGTCGATTGCCAGGAGCAGGGTTGGGCACCCCTGTGTTACACTATGAAACCAGAACAATTTTATGTTTCCATGATTTTGTTCATTCTTTCTGTTTGAATTTGTTTAGCGCGGTTTCAACATTCTTAAT